GCTCAGCCATCTTAAATCTGTAGATTTGACAATATTTGGGCAGACTGGTTTGGCATTTTTGGCATTGTCCTAAAAAGGATTGATATCAGGTGTCTGGCATACTAAAATTGAACAGAATATTACATAATCTTGCAAAGCTGAGGTATGTTGCCTTGTGCTAATATGGAAAGAAGGCTGAGGGCTGAGGCAAAGTGTTGGGATTATGATAGGAATGTGAAGCTTCCGATCTATTCCTTTGGAACAGGAAATGTGAAGGACCAACCCCATCATTTTTTACCAGCTCTCTGTTCCCTGCCCTTTTCATTCTTTAATCTGAGTTGTCTTACACCGCGCCTTTGTTGTAAATATTTGATTTGGAATTTCTTTGGTTCTTTGTTCACTGATTTTTTCTTGTCATTCCTGACTTGTTTTTCATTATTTAAAGAACAAATTGTTTCTAGAAACATATGAGCAACATTCATGAATATTACTTTTAAATGAGTTTCCTATTTATATACACCCAATGTTATCTTGCGCTATTGTCAGTAGATAACAACATATTTTGTTAATAGTTTGTTCCATTCTGATGGAGAAAATTAAAGTCGCTTGTTGTGCTCTATATTAAAGAAGGGTCAAGCAAAAAAAAAAAAAAAAAAAGGTTTTGGTCTAAAGGGGGTGCCAGGTTCTAGGCTCTAAAGCTCAAAACAGAAGCTTCTTGCTGAGGAAATCGAACATTTATACAGCGTAGTATTTTATCATTGAGTGTTCAACTTGAGGTGCCCAAGTCTTGAGGGTGGTCAAAAATGGGGTGTCTACAGTGGCCCTAAGCTCGAGCATAATTAACGAGCCGACTGCGAGCTTCGCCTCAGCCCCAAACCCTTCTTCTGTCATTGTTGTTGTTGGTTTCTTCTGGGACGATCCATGGTTTATCCCTTCTTCTACGAGTAAGTCTCCTTTTGTCACCACGGCCACTAGAGCGAGCTCTTGTGCGCACTAACTCCAAATCCGAAACTACAACGTCGCTAAAACTTTCACTGGAGAAGTCAAAGGTATCTGGGCAATAAGGGAAATCCATCCTCAAAGAAAAATCAGGAGAGAGAGAGAGAGAGAGAGAGAAAAGAAGAGATATTCCTAGCCCAGCAATGTTAAGTATCATGAAAAGTCTTTCATGAAAATAATCATGAAAGATTTGTGACCTTTGAATTACATTTACAATCAAGCACCACACATTAATCAAGGTAATCTAAAGATCACAATTTTTTCATGATCCCTAACATTTCCCTTCATATATATACTATGAATTCAGATGAAATAAATAGAACACTAGCGATACAAATTTTTTGCCAACTTAGATTTCATTATACAATGTCAATTGTGATGAAATAAGTACAAAATTGCATTTCAATTAAAGTATCAAAGCATTTCTAAAGAGTCCTACTGTGCCGCACACCATCATGTATTCAGTTGTCTCAATTAAAAAATTTAGGAATAAAGGCAAAAAAAAATATTCACACCAACCCTAGAGCTTCTAAGTGGCTTGCCAACCTAAAAGCCATCCAAAGCTGCACCTAGTGCAAACATATCATAATCTGCACAATTGCACCCAACGTCCATGCATCCACACTCATCTGAATTTGTCACCCTTTGATTATTTCTCCTCTTCCTCATTGTCATCGGCATCAACATCGGCACTGGCACCGACATCGCCTCTTTTACTGTCGGAACTTTAAGCTTCATTGCTACTTGCACTGCAGGTGGCTTGATATCTTCATATACGCGTCTACTTTTTGGAACCATGACTGCCCATTTCTCAATTTCCATCTCCAGGGTCTCGGAGATAGTTTTCCATGGAATCTCAGCTCTACCCAAGAGATGTGATCCTCCAATTTTCCCAATAAAGAGTGCAGTGCTTCTCCACCGAAGTTCAAAAACAACACTTCCTCGCATCAGCATCTCCATGGAGTCTTGGGTACCCGAACACTCAAACGAGAACGTTTCATTCCAAAACAAGTTGGATTTTGATGAGATTTCTTGGCTGTCTAGTCGAACCCTGTTGTTTTTTCCTGCAGAGAGATAGCATCTGACAAACAAGTGTCCAGTGGATTTCAACTCTATGTTTTTGGCTCTAATGATTCTAAGTTCACATATAAAAGCGGAGAGATTTTGAGGAGCACCCATATTTCTAGAGAGAGAGAGAGAGAGGTTGATAAGTTATTTGGTGAAGAGATGCAGTGGGCTGGTAGAGGTATATATTGTAAGATATATAAAAAATGCAGTGGCGGTAAAAAAAGATTGAAACCATACTTTATGTGATAGAATCCGAAACGAAGAACTTTGTGAGTAAATCACGTGTTCTTTAATCATGAACTAAGAACACCAAGCAACGGGGTGATACACAGTATGAGTATCACCCACTCTAATTAGGCTTGATCGTTTTTCATATGGGAGAGAGTTAGACAGAGAGTATGAAAACAAACTGTTATAGGTAAAAATTACAAAACGTATTTGATATTTTTATATAATTTAGATACATATAATCAGATATATAACCATCTATCTATATCCATCTATCCATATCTCCTAAGGATATGATAGATGTAGATAGATAGAAGGTTATCCTAACAAAATAGGATAATAAGGAAATCAAATTCAAATTATATGGGTAATTTGAATGGACCATGGGTCATGCCATATGGGCGCCCAAATTCGGGTCCAATACCTGGCCCAATTTCCAACATCTCTCACTCGCATATAAGTTGGCATGACATTGCCACATCTCTATCTCAATCTCCCTAAAATATTTAATAATCTCATACTTGCCAATGAACCGTGCGACCGTTGAGAAACATCTGTATGTGGGAGCTCTATACTAGAACTCAAAAATGAGCCAGCATAGAGACATCAACTCGAAAATAAAAATAATGTCTCATATACCCTAGACCCATCTAATTACACTGGTCCAAAAAACATCTCTAATCCCTCAAAAGGGCATGTTTGACCCTTTTAATTCTTGTAATATATTCACACTCAATCCGTCTCTTATATAGAGCGATGTAAGTTGCTGGCAGTGAATATACAACAGTGGTGTAATACTACATGATCTTTCTTTTGCCCTCATGACATTTAGTTTAGGATTGACTGCTTTTCCAGTGATGTCCCTTAAGGCCGAATCATACATGACCGTAGGCAACATACCAAAGTAGCAGAACATCAACTCCTTATCTTATGACATAGTCAAAGGTCACAAAAGGGAACATAAGTAAAAGTCATATAAAAAATGACATGTAAGACTCACACAGTGTGTGATATCCCTGTTCCATAATATGTTAATTGGTCCTTAATATGAGTATGATTATGTGTTTGATATGATTTTGTGTGCCATTATGTGAAAATATGTGGCTTTAAATTTCTATCTGTTCACCGTAGGATTATCTGTTTGATTATCTGCTTTGGAAATTAAATTGAAGGTCCTATCGGCTACTGAAACCAAAATTGATTGCGCCATTGTGATTAGCTTAATTTTTAGAGCCTATGGTGAAATTTGATTGGAAATTGATTCGGATCAGATTAAATTGATTAAATTGATGAATCAGTGCCCAATTACCTTATTATTATTATATTAGAATTAGTGGAATTGGTTGTAATAGAGGTTGTAATAGAGCACTACACCCTCAATTCTCTCTTTAGCTTCACTTGGCTGATTTTGAACTCAAAGAAGAGAGAGGGCCGGCTTTAGAGAGAGAGAGAGGGAGATAATTGTGTAATCTTGGCTCAAGGTTTGGGAAATTTGAAGATTAAACTCAAGAATTTGCTATAGCTTGGAAGATTGAGCTCCTAGGTAAGAGAATTCATGAGTTTAATGTTGTAAATTGTGAATTCAAGTTTGATTAATGGTCAAGAACATGAGTTGGATTGATTATGATGAAATTGGGTTAGTTTTGTTGAATTTGAAGTCTTAGACCACATGCATGTAAGAAATTGCCATAATTTCTATGTTTGAGCATAAAGTATGTAATCCATGTTGAGTTTTGATTAATGACCATGTATTTGATCATCTCTTCACCAATTAAGTTGAGGTTATTGTGTATATTTCACATGCAAGTGCAAATCATGGGAGTTTGAGTCTTGCATGTTTGAATCTAGTGCGTTGGTGATGAATTTGAGTTAATTTGAGACATGCATGTGATTAAATTATGAAATAGAGCTTCATTGTGTTGTAATTTGGTGTTTACACCATGTTAGAATATGTATATGTGAAGTTTGAGCCAAAATCGTGCATTTGGAACCTTTGAATATCAAATTGAAGCTCAAGAACATGTTCTGAATTTTTCAGAATTTTGATGTCCGCTCGAGCGGGGAAACCGCCGCTCGAGCGTGAAATTCGTGTTCCCAGTATTTTCTGCAGACATGGTGTCCGCTTGAGCGGGTAAGTTCACGCTCGAGTGGGGAGCCATGTAGAGAGGCCTTCCGCTCGAGCGCCAGAGTTCGTGATCGAGCATAAATTTGACATATCCAGTACTTTTGCAGGCCTCGTGGGTCCGCTCGAGCGGGGAAGTCCACGCTCGAGCAGGGACCCTGTTTTCTGAAATTTTGAAAAGACATTTGTGTTTCATTTTCTGTTATCTTTTACTTCCAAGTACTCTTAGACATGCATTGAGCATTGTAATTGAGTTAAAGAGATAAGAATGAAGCTTAAAGAGGAAAATGTGAATTTAGAACGAATCGAATTGTTTGTGACCCTTTTGTGTTCATGGAATGTGTAGGGTCGAGCTCCAGGGCAAACCAACCAACCGATCAAACACGTGTGATACAAATTTTTTGCCGACTTAGATTTCATTATACAATGCCAATTGAGATGAAATAAGTACAAAATTGCATTTCAATTAAAGTATCAAAGCATTTCTAAAGAGTCCTACTGTGCCGCACACCATCATGTATTCAGTTGTCTCAATTAAAAAATTTAGGAATAAAGGCAAAAAAATATTCACACCAACCCTAGAGCTTCTAAGTGGCTTGCCAACCTAAAAGCCATCCAAAGCTGCACCTAGTGCAAACATATCATAATCTGCACAATTGCACCCAACGTCCATGCATCCACACTCATCTGAATTTGTCACCCTTTGATTATTTCTCCTCTTCCTCATCGTCATCGGCATCAACACCGGCACTGGCACCGACATCGCCTCTTTTACTGTCGGAACTTTAAGCTTCATTGCTACTTGCACTGCAGGTGGCTTGATATCTTCATATACGCGTCTACTTTTTGGAACCATGACTGCCCATTTCTCAATTTCCATCTCCAGGGTCTCGGAGATAGTTTTCCATGGAATCTCAGCTCTACCCAAGAGATGTGATCCTCTAATTTTCCCAATAAAGGGTGCAGTGCTTCTCCACCGAAGTTCAAAAACAACACTTCCTCGCATCAGTATCTCCATGGAGTCTTGGGTACCCGAACACTCAAATGAGAACGTTTCATTCCAAAACAAGTTGGATTTTGATGAGATTTCTTGGCTGTCTAGTCGAACCCAGTTGTTTTTTTCCTGCAGAGAGATAGTAACTGACAAACAAGTGTCCAGTGGATTTCAACTCTATGTTTTTGGCTCTAATGATTCTAAGTTCACATCTAAAAGCGGAGAGATTTTGAGGAGCACCCATATTTCTAGAGAGAGAGAGAGAGAGGTTGATAAGTTATTTGGTGAAGAGATGCAGTGGGCTGGTAGAGGTATATATTGTAAGATATATAAAAAATGCAGTGGCGGTAAAAAAAGATTGAAACCATACTTTATGTGATAGAATCCGAAACGAAGAACTTTGTGAGTAAATCACATGTTCTTTAATCACGAACTAAGAACACCCAGCAACGGGGTGATACACAGTATGAGTATCACCCACTCTAATTAGGCTTGTTCGTTTTTCATATGGGAGAGAGTTAGACAGAGAGTATGAAAACAAACTGTTATGGGTAAAAATTACAAAACGTATCTGATATTTTTATATAATTTAGATACATATAATCAGATATATAACCATCTATCTATATCCATCTATCCATATCTCCTAAGGATATGATAGATGTAGATAGATAGAAGGTTATCCTAACAAAATAGGATAATAAGAAAATCAAATTCAAATTATATGGGTAATTTGAATGGACCATGGGTCATGCCATATGGGCGCCCAAATTCGGGTCCAATACTTGGCCCAATTTCCAACATCTCTCATTCGCATATAAGTTGGCATGACATTGCCACATCTCTATCTCAATCTCCCTAAAATATTTAATAATCTCATATTTGCCAATGAACCGTGCGACCGCTGAGAAACATTTGTATGTGGGAGCTCTATACTAGAACTCAAAAATGAGCCAGCATAGAGACATCAACTCGAAAATAAAAATAGTGTCTCATATACCCTAGACCCATCTAATTACACTGGTCCAAAAAACATCTCTAATCCCTCAAAAGAGCATGTTTGACCCTTTTAATTCTTGTAATATATTCACACTCAATCCGTCTCTTATACAGAGCGATGTAAGTTGCTGGCAGTGAATATACAACAGTGGTGTAATATTACATGATCTTTCCTTTGCCCTCATGACATTTAGTTTAGGATTGACTGCTTTCCCAGTGATGTCCCTTAAGGCCGAATCATACATGACCGTAGGCAACATACCAAAGTAGCAGAACATCAACTCCTTACCTTATGACATAGTCAAAGGTCACAAAAGGGAACATAAGTAAAAGTCATATAAAAAATGACATGTAAGACTCACACGGTGTGTGATATCCCTGTTCCGTAATATGTTAATTGGTCCTTAATATGAGTATGATTATGTGTTTGATATGATTTTGTGTGCCATTATGTGAAAATATGTGGCTTTAAATTTCTATCTGTTCACCGTAGGATTATCTGTTTGATTATCTGCTTTGGAAATTAAATTGAAGGTCCTATCGGCTACTGAAACCAAAATTGATTGCGCCATTGTGATTAGCGTAATTTTTAGAGCCTACGGTGAAATTTGATTGGAAATTGATTCGGATCAGATTAAATTGATTAAATTGATGAATCAGTGCCCAATTACTTTATTATTATTATATTGGAATTAGTGGAATTGGTTGTAATAGAGCACTACACCCTCAATTCTCTCTTTAGCTTCACTTGGCTGATTTTGAACTCAAAGAAGAGAGATGGCCGGCTTTAGAGAGAGAGAGGGAGAGAATTGTGTAATCTTGGCTCAAGGTTTGGGGAATTTGAAGATTAAACTCAAGAATTTGCTATAGCTTGGAAGATTGAGCTCCTAGGTAAGAGAATTCATGAGTTTAATGTTGTAAATTGTGAATTCAAGTTTGATTAATGGTCAAGAACATGAGTTAGATTGATTATGATGAAATTGGGTTAGTTTTGTTGAATTTGAAGTCTTAGACCACATGCATGCAAGAAATTGCCATAATTTTCATGTTTGAGCATAAAGTATGTAATCTATGTTGAGTTTTGATTAATGACCATGTATTTGATCATCTTTTCACTAATTAAGTTGAGGATATTGTGTATATTTCACATGCAAGTGCAAATCATGGGATTTTGAGTCTTGCATGTTTGAATCTAGTGTGTTGGTGATGAATTTGAGTTAATTTGAGACATGCATGTGATTAAATTATGAAATTGAGCTTTATTGTGTTGTAATTTGGTGTTTACACCATGTTAGAATATGTATATGTGAAGTTTGAGCCAAAATCGTGCATTTGGAACCTTTGAATATCAAATTGAAGCTCAAGAACATGTTCTGAATTTTTCAGAATTTTGATGTCCGCTCGAGCGGGGAAACCGCCGCTCGAGCGTGAAATTCGTGTTCCCAGTATTTTCTGCAGACATGGTGTCCGCTTGAGCGGGTAAGTTCACGCTCGAGTGGGGAGCCATGTAGAGAGGCCTTCCGCTCGAGCACCAGAGTTCGTGATCGAGCGTAAATTTGACATATCCAGTACTTTTGCAGGCCTCGTGGGTTTGCTCGTCCACGCTCGAGCGGGGACCCTGTTTTCTGAAATTTTGAAAATGCATTCTATGTTCCGTTTTCCGTTCTCTTTCGCTTGCAAGCACTCTTAGGCATACATTGAGCATTATAAATGAGTTAAATGGATAAGAATGAAGCCTAAAGAGGAATATGTGAATTTAAGAATGGATTGAATTGTTTGTGACCCTTTTGTGTTCATGGAATGTGTAGGGTCGAACTCCAGGGCAAACCAACTAACCGGTCACTGTGAGTAATATCGATATTTTGAAACTTATCATTTGTCCAATTGCTTATTTCTTTATAAGCCTTATAAGTGCTAGTTTGAATTATGGACAAATGTTCGTTATGAATAACTGAATGGGCCGAAGGCCAGTTTGACATAAATGAATGAATGGATGGGCCAGAGGCCATTTTGACACGAATGAATGGGCCAGAGGCCATTTTGACATGAATGAATGGGCCAGAGGCCAGTTTGACATGAATGGATGGGCCAGAGGCCAGTTTGACATGAAAGATTGAATGAGCCAGAGGCCAGTCTGACAAATGGAAGATAAATGGGCCAAAGGCCAGTATGTTTGGAACCCCAGTCACTTGACCTAAATCATGTATATATATATGTTAAATAGAAATATGAATTGGGCCCAAGGCCGTTTGAAGCATGTTATTCTACATATCGTTTGTATAACTTCTGTACTTGACATTATTCACTGGGTTTTCGCTCACGCTCATTCATGTGTTTGTAGGTGAGCCAAGAGAAGTCCAGACCTAGCCCCAGTGAAGTCTGTGAGGAACAACAAAGGTTTTGAAGAGTCAGCTCTTGCGTCTCACGCACGAGACCCATCTTCGCTTTTTTGTCATTCTGTTTTATTTTGTCATCTAGGCGAAGTCTTTGAATATGTTGTATATAGTTTTGATGGGTTGACTTAGACTTATATGATCCTGTATGTACAGAACCTTGTGTGGTACATATTTTGTTGTGAGTTATTAATGTGCATATGTATGGTTGTTACGATGTGCCATGTAAGCACAGCTCTATGGACAAAGTTTTAAATTGCTTCCATTTGGCCCCCATTAACTCTGTTAAAATACGTTTGGTTTAGTTTGAGGCCGTAGGTAATCTCATGATTTCTGGCCGGTTATGTCCTTAACCCACGGGGGCGGGTTCGGGTCATGACACGGTGAGGAAACAGGGATCCATTCTCTCACCTCATTACTTTATCGCCAAGCACATGTAGTATGAATACATGCTACGGTGGAGTAACTCTTCCAAAAGAGTGATGTCATACTCGATATACCGTACAGATCTTATTCTTGTCGCTTTCTAGCGCCTAACCCGAATTCTCTATTTGCTCGCCTTTCAGGTGCTAAATAAGATCTCGCATCTGGCTAATTATAACAAGCACAACATGGAAAGTGAGTACTAACATCCATGTTTGGTCCTTAACACGACATCATCTTGGTTGTAACCAAGGTGACATACATAGTGGATAATTTAAGCCTCTCTTGACTCTAAATAAAAATAAACCACTAGTCTTATCATTGTTCGCTCCCAAGCGCTAAGGGCGATTGCTCGTGTGAGTGAGCCAATCTTGTTTACTGACATCATCATTTGCTAATCATTATGACACAAACCATAATAGTGTCAACATCCTATCATCTCACAACAAATAAGTGATCGATTTAAAAAACACGATCACAGTTTGCGTAATTCTAGATTCCAAGCATAAGCCTTATCAGCACCTCTTGCGGTAAGCATATACAACGGAATCCTCCATGTGCGCTTCACATGAAGTGGTTCAAGATTACTACCTCTTGCGCAATTACCTCTCTAAAGATATTTTGGTGACCAATCTGCGTTCGTTCAAGATGCGCCCAACTAGCGCAGATGTGCCTAACTAATGCATTGAATCTTACAAGGGGCAAATTTATTTACTTCTAATAAAGCATTCTATCCACAGTCTAATGAGCAAGGTCAATGTCTAAACTACTCAGTTGACCATGTACCAAAGATAACACTCATCATGTTGAATACACCCATGTAGTGTACTTCAGGCTCCCACAACAAAAAAAAAAAAGAAAAAGGAATATAGGTCATCTGTTTCTCCCAAAGACAATCCGAAGATTCACTTAATAGCTAAGGCTCTGGCTTTTATTGATAGGTAAGTCAATGGGTTTGCAATTTTGCATCTAGAATCATTTTAGGATATTCTTTATGTAAGTCATCAAAGACAAACTGAGAATTCTCCAAAAAATAATCCCTAAGGATCGTACATCCGAGCATATAAATTACGTCACCCATGTCCATCATATCTAAAACAGAGGACTGCCCATCCTAGGTGACGATAACCTTATAAATTCCTGGCTCATAATGACTAAGTAAGGAAAAGCTCCTCTTGGACCATTGATCATGCCTCAGTGGTCTTCATC